TCTATATAGAAATACATACACACACATATATATATATATATCTATCTATCTTGCACCTTTTGAAATCTATGAGCATGTCCCTTAGCATCATGTAACAAGTTCCATGACAAGAGGAAACATCTCATTTTCATACCTGTGTGCTTGTGGGCCTACCTAGCAGGAACTTAATAAATGCTTGCTTACCTGATCATAAACCATAGCCAACTGTAACATGGATGCCTTACAGCTGATATATACAGTCAGAAGAAATGGCATCTTAGAAATGAAGCCTAAGCAGTATGAAAATATGAGTTCTGCTTTAGAGTATTTAGGGTTCTTGCTACGCAGCCTCTTCCTACCTCCTCTCACCCAATAGTTTTCGTCCCCTCTATGAACAACTTTTGGCATTTCCCCAGAGAGCTCTGTACCTAAGATTTATACATACCTAAAATACCTTTTAAGTACTGAAAACTGGGCTAACTATTGAATATCAGGTCTGATAATCAAACATTTATTATATCCTTCCCAGATATAGGCGATACTAATACGATGAATTAAATAATGCCTACTCAAAAGGAGCTTACGTTCGAATGTATAAACAGAATAAAAAGGTAAAGGCTTTGGATTAATTAAGAATGCCTAGAAGATGTGAGAAGACAGTGCGGCAAACTCTTCTGCAGAGGCGGAAGGCACAGGAGGGTACAACGCTGCATATATTTTCAAACTGTTTTGAATTATTTATCAGTTTTGTTGATTTTTTTTCCTCTTGCTCTTTTTCATTCATTTAAAATATTCTCTGCTATTTGGAATGGCTCTCTAAACTCAAGAGGGGAAGGGGTACTGGGAGATATCCGGGTCATGTTAAAACAAGGAGTGTCAATAAAAATTTATTTGGAAAAGAAAAAGAATGTCTGGAATAAGAGCAATGACCCGTATCATTTCGTAGGCGTAATAACCATAGGCTTCATCAGTGAAGAAAAGAATCTCTACTATTCCACCACAGCCTCATCCCAAAGGCTCATGTTTCCCATACAAACCAAGTCTGCTTCTCTACCCCTTCAGCACCCTATACTGCTCCTGCTGACCCGAGCATTGCTTCCATGAGTATCTTTTATGAAGAGATTCGTTCCACGGGGCTCTGTATAGGACAGCACAAGACACACAATAAGGACTCAATAAATGTGCTTGTGACTGATTACTATTAATTTATAATGATTTTTGAGTAGTTTGAAATGGAAAAAAAAAGAATTCAAGTGACAAGTAACTTAAATCACAAGGATTTATCTTTCACAGAAACCATTCAACCCTTAGGTAGTAATACTTGAGAAATTCACATGTTTTAAAAGTCAGGTAGATTGTACTCAATTTGCCTAAAAATAACTCTCTAGGTTATTGTTCAGGAAGTCTGCATTTCAATCCCAATTATATCCCTGACTATGCATATCTGGGAAACATATCATATGGATAAATACTTCAATTTCTTCATGTTCAAAAGGATGAAGAATGATACTTACCATGGGTGCAGAAGAATCATGTTTAGAGAATTCAAGTAACATAAAATGAACCAAATTCCACCAGGTGACTGGTCCTGCCATTTCAGTAGACAGGCTGATTTTTGTGTATGTGTTTTTGAGAAATTCCTCTGAGCTAATGGACTAACATATGAACCAAACATTCTCCAAACTAACAAAAGATACCACTCGTTTCACCTACAAAGGAAAATAAAGGCAGTCGTACCTGAGGAGATGCCTGAGTGATTAAATTGATTGCACCGATCTGCTCCCATTGTTTTTCCTACTACAAGAAGAAAGATGGCCGGCACAGGTCCATTTCAAGACCAGTCAGAAGGGCAGCGCCCTCCTTTCACTAAATTTAAACTTCAACCACAGCCTGTGTGGCATATAAGGAGAAGCAAAGCACATGCAAATCTCAGCAATGGCTGACACTGAATTTAAATAGAAGTTCTAGAGTTTTTAGCCTCAAGAGAAAAATTTTGACACACACTCTCAGAGCCCATCATTTTCTAAAAGATAAGGAAAATATAAGACAAAGTCCCATTCTAAGAAGTGGCGGTATTCATTGATATAATCAATTATTTATCAATTGCCTTCTGTGAACAAAAAGCCGACCAGAGCAATGTGCACAACTTGATCTCTGCTACTAGTGCTAGGATGGAAAGTGGAAACTGGGTGGAGCAACTGTATCCATAACAACATTCAGGTTATCATTAGACGTCATGTCTACGGGAACCTACCAGTCCCTCATACAACATTACCTTACTGAGGTAGATAGACTAACTTATATTCAAAGATAAATCTTTTATAATGAATGTGCTCCTAAATTTCATTTACTCAGGAATCAATATATTTAACAGAAACACTGGCTTTTTGGGACATCGAACTCCAATGAACACCTGTAAAAGATGAAATGTTTGAAAACCTTTAAATAATGCGGATTTGGTGTGAGACAGATACCAATATACGTAGCAGGAGGTGCTGTGGAGAGAGTGCTGCGCCCAGAGTCAAGAGGACTCCTCTGTCTTAGTTCAAATCTGGCCTCAGACACCCCATTTGCCTCGGTTTCCTCATCTGACACAACTGAACAACAACAAACAAAAAAGATCTGGCCATCCTTTTTATCACCTATCTAAAGACCTCTAGAACAAGGGAGGAAGCAGCTCCAAGGGATCCATCCTTGGCATCCTTCCCCGAGGGAGGGAGCGGCTTATGGACCAACTGACAGCATGGCGGACAATCAACTGAAACGTTTAAATATACTTAAATGGATTATGAGATCATAGATCTGGACTTGAAAGGTGGCCATTTAGTCCATCCACCTCATTTTTAGATGAGGAAAATGAGGCCCAGAGAGGGAAGGGACTTGTCCGAGGTGACAGAGCTAGTGAATGATGGAGGTAAATTTGACCCCAGGTCCTCAGGCTCCAAATCCAGGACTTTCTCCCAGTATTATGTCGCCCCTACTCAGGAGAAAAGGAGAGTACGGTGAGGGACGCTTGTGCCTCTTTGTATTCAGTTCAGTGACTGTGATGGAGCTTTCTGCTGCAAGGTCCCTAGGAGCCTAAGACACCAAAGGGTCCTTTTTCTCTAATCTCCTCTCCAGGGGAAAAAGAGACTCATTCTCCAAACAGTGTCAAATCATATGCAAAACCACCTACATCAAAACATGGAAAGAGGGGGAGGGGACAAAACTCACACAATGTCATCTGCCCCAGATCCTACATATCTCTGAGAGTGGAGACAAATACAAAGCAACAAACACACACATACATCCAGGTACCATTTCTCCTTGAGATAGCTTAATATATAACTGAAAATACTTTGTAGACCAAGGGTGTCTAATACAGAAAGTTGAAAAGGAAGCAGTAGCCTTAGGCTGAAAAAATATTTCAAAAGACGATGCGATGTTATGGTTAAACCTAACACAAAACTTAATTCTGGATATTAAAAGCCTCAATACCTGAAAGTTAATGAAAATTTGTCCTTCCTTATAAAAAGAGATTTTATTACATATTAAGAATATGTATCTTATCAGACTGGCCAACATGACAGAACAGGAAAATGATAAATGTTGGAGAAGATGTGGGAAAATTGGAACATTAATGCATTGTTGGTGGAGTTGTGAAATGATCCAACCATTTTGGAGAGCAATTTGGAGCTATGCCCAAAGGGCTATAAAAATATGCATACCCTTTGACTCAACAATAGCACTTCTAGGGCTATATCCCAGAGAGATCATACAAATGGGAAAAGAACCCACATGTACAAAAATATTTATAGCAGCTCTTTTTGTGGTGGCAAAGAATCAGAAATTGAGAGGATGCCCATCAATTGGGGAATGGCTGAACAAGTTGTGGTATATGAATGTCATGGAATACTATTGCGCTATAAGAAATGACAAGCAGGCAGACTTCAGAAAAACCTAGAAAGACTTGCATGGACTGATGCTGAGTGAAGTGAGCAGAATCAGGAGAACGTTATACACAGCAACAGCCACAGTGTGCGATGACTAACATTGATAGACTTAGCCCTTCTCAGCAATGCAAGGATCTAAGACATCTCCAAAGACCTCATGATGGAAAATTCTATCCTCATCCAGAGAAAGAACTACGGAATTTGAATGCAGATCCAGCATATTATTTGCTATTTTTTTTTCTGTTTTGTTTCTTCTTTCTTGTGGTTCCTCCTTTTGGTTTTAATTCTTCCTTACAACATCACTAATATGAAAAGATGTTTAATAGGAATGTATATGTACAGCTTATATCAGATTGCGTGCAATCTTTGGGGAGGAAAGCAGGGAGTGAGGGGGAGAAAAATTTAAAACTCAAAACCTTATGGAAGTGATTGTTGATAAATCAAAATAAATTAATTAAAAAAAAAAGAATATGTGTGTGTAAAAATTATATACACACCCGTGCCGTACTTAAAATAACTCTAACTACGAGGAATTCATTGTAAAACTACTTTAAATGCAAGGTAATAAAATAAGCCAAAACTCAGCTTTTAAGAATGTTTGCTTCAGCACAAGAAAAGTATCTTCTGATTCTACCAAAAGACTATCAGACCACAAGAGCTATTTATATAATAACAAAATGACTGCAGAAGATGGAATTTTTCAATATAGAAGAGGAATACCTCTCCCCCCTCCCTCTGTTCCCAAAGATTGGATATTCTTTTGTGATTCTGGCAAGGTAAACTCTTCCTTGAGTTCTTTTTTCTACCCCTAAATAAAGGTAAGCCCACTTCTGGTGAAATCTCATTTTATTTAACTTTTCACATTTTGTTTTGTACTAGAGCTATTCATGTACAAGTCTAACTTTCCCTTCTAAAAGACCGATTCCTACAAGGGTGGGATTGAATATTATTCATCTTTATGTGTTATACCAGATCAAACCAATAGTAAGCATTTAATGAATACTGTTGAGTTTTGGCGCTGCACAGAATAGCTCAGGAGGGTCAGTGCCGCTCCACAAGACCCAGCACCGTGCTTGGGACGCCACTCACCAGGTTCGGGCGGCGGTGGCAGTGGAGTCGGCGGCTCTTCAGTAGCAGCAGCTGCGGCCGCACTCGCCTGTGCAGCTTCATTTGTCATGGATCTGGTGATTCGACCTTTGCGGCGACCTTGGCTGTTGGCTGTTTTTCGCCCCCGAGGTGTGGCTTGCTCCCTTTCTTCCGTTTCTTCTGATGTACCTTCTGTCTTGTCCTTCTCTTTGGCGTTTTCTCTAAGGAAGAAAGTATAAGAGTAACACATGATGTTGAAGATTAGCAGACAAAAATAAATAGCAGAATTTTAAAACTCTAAATTCTGACTATAAGCTTTAAAAAACTTGATGAAGAAAAAAAAGAATAATTCAATTATGTCCGAGAATTACTCTCAACAATGAGAGTCAAATTCAAGTATTTCACAAATTCCATTTCTTCCTCTAGGACAATCACTGCCATTTCAATGAAAGCAAGCTTTCATGGCTTCCCTACGAAATGAAGCCGTGATGAGATGGGCCTATTCTTGATGGGGAAATATACCTGGAGTCAGTAAAAAGGGCACTAGACCCATCGGGAGGTGTCGAGACTTGACAACAAACTAAGTATGAGATCTGAGGCAATTCACTCAACTCTGGGGACTCAGATTTATTCTGTCAAATGGGAGTGAGAGCATCACAGATTCAAAGTTTGAGGGCAATTCTGAGGCCCATCTAGTTGAATGTCCTCTTTTGACAGATGAAGAAACTGAGGCTTAGAAAGAAGTATTTTGAAAATGGCAGAGCTGACAATAAATAAAAGTTCTCCGTACCCTGCCCTAGCAATCATGCACAGCTGTTCTGAGGCTCCAAAGAGGTATAACCAGGGTGAAGGACTCTGGAAAGGGAGGATATTATCATCACACTCTCAAAAACAAGGTGGGACAAATGCACTGGGAGGCTATGGCCTAAAACTTGAGAACACTGTTTAATATACAAATTATGTTACTTCAAAGTGAAGGCTTATGGTTTACTACACTAAAGAAGGTAACAAAATGGCTCTCATTTTAGCTTCAAAGATCAACTTGACAACTCTAAAAATGCCACTCAAGAAGGATGGTCTCTAATAACAACAGTAAACAATAATCATAAACTTTAAAAAGAATAAACATTGTCATTATACTAAAAAAAAAAATACTCTGTGGCTATTTATATATTTGAAACCAATGCCACAAATATTTTGAAGGGATAATAATTCACGGGATAATAATAAAACCATAGCAATATACTGTAAGCTAAAAGACTCTCCTCCAATGTGTTTCCCGTGCATATATTGAGATCACACAGAATTTCTTAATAGATGCAAGCACAGAAATAATTCTGTTCAATTATCAAGCATGAAACACAGCACACAAAGGATGGCTAGTCAAAAAGGAGTTCCCCTCTGTCACAGAAGATTCCAGCTCTACTATTACTACCTGTGTAATCTTGGGCTTATCTGCTTAGTATGTGCAGTAAGGGATTAGACCAGATAGAAATTCCTTTAAATCTATGATCCTACAATCCTAAGATGTCATGCACAAAGTCCAAATGAAAAGGAGGGATTCCCTAAAGGTGGCAAAGTTAGTCACTAAATGCTTCTGTTTGCAGATGACATTTTACTGACAGCAACAAATAATGATTGGAACACTACAGGGCCTCCTCAAAGAGATCCATGGCCACTCAGAAGACATTAACAAGCACGTGCAGTCAAATTATGGCATGCAGTGAGATGGAGAGCTCATCCTTGCAGTCAGCCTATTATTATACCTATCTTGGAAAGGCACTACAGACAATGAGGTGGGTCCAGAATTAAACAGGAAGTAAAGAAAGGGGCCATACAGCTTTTGGAAAACTGGCTAATACCCCTAATGATCCTTTGACAGTTGCTCCTTGTTGCCAAAGACAACCACCTTTTGACACTAATATTCTCCACATGATATATGGCTGTGAACAACACAACCTCAGAAAATGCAAACTGCAAATGACCTAAAAGGAAATGGAGAAAGCAACCTGCAGCATCAACAAATCATTCGTTTCCTTGCATAAAATATGATATCTAACACTGGATGTGAAGGTGGGCTGATCACTTGGCAAGAACAAAGGAAAACATGCATGCATCTATATGGTATAAAAAGTTCTGAGGAAAATTCCTAGCGTCTTGGACAGGCCCTCTAGGGAGGGTGCACATCAGCATATGGACAAGAATTACACATCATGAGAAGGCATTAATGACTTAAAATGTGCACTGGTGAAAGGTGCACCACTATTAACAATGAGATAAACCATGCATACATCAAGATATTGTAGTAAATCTTTGTTTCAACACAGGGAAAGGAGCCTTCTAAAGCATCCACTGGCTTTTTATGAAACCATACTTTCATACTTCACTAATCATCAAAATAATGACCAGGGCACATAAAAAATTCAGCATTGCCTTCTGACACAACAAAGAGAATAAATAACATTTAGCATTAAGCATATTAATAGTATTCTAATTCTAAAATTTGTTAATCCAAGAAGGTTATCTAGGGAAAATATTAAACCAAATTAAGCAGAATTTCCTATTCCTTAATCACAAGAGGTAACAGAGTTAATATGGTTCATCTTGCTAGGTGCAATGTTGCCTTTTAACATCTCATGACCTCAAATGATCCAAATTTTTCTTTTAGAAGTAAAGATGTACATATCTTTATTTAATCTTTAACTTACTTAGATTCTTCTTTTTCATCTTTTTCATCTTCATCTTTCTTTTCTTCTTCTTTTTTTTCTGTCTTTTCAGTTTTATCTTCCTCAACTTTTTCTTCTACCTTTTCCTCTTGTGAAGGCCGGGTAATTTGTTGCTGAAATGAAATAAATGGTCAATAAATAAGGAAACGAGGTGATCCAACATGGTATACTGTACAGCTATCTGCAATTACTAATGAATATTTAATTTCTGAGCTAAGCATTAAAAAAAAGTTAAATAAATATTATATATTCTAGAATTTATAAACTCAAACCATCGAAATAAAAGGCCTACACCATATATTTTAAGAATATATTTCTCAAAATTTTTTTTAATTGTGAATTTCATAACCAACAAAAGCAATTAGATAAATCAAGACAACAAAAGACAAAATCTTATTCAAAAACCTTATCCTTATTTACCAAGCAAGCAAATAAAAAGTATTTTTGTTCTGTGTCTCCCTTTCTAAGTTCATTCCTTTCCTCTCCATTTCAAAATGCAGCTGGTTCTCTCCAGTTCTAATTTCATTGCATATGATCTTGGTCTTTCCACATTTCCTTGTATACTCCAAACTTATATTTTGATAGCACCACTATACTCTATGAAGAGTGGGTTGCATAGTGGATAGACTGCCAGTCAGTCAGTCAAAGATGGCAGGAGTTACGTCCAACCTCTCACATCTATGAGCATAGTCAAGTAACATTTCAGTGCTCCAGGCAAATCTTTCAAGATGATAAAATAACAGCTGTGTTACCAAGTTCCATTGGTAGAAGTTCCCATATTGGGAAATCATAAGTCTGGACCAAAAAAATATCACACCATATTAATGTAACTCATTCAGTCTCCAACCATCAGACAAATCAGTGGTTTCCAATTGGTTTCTATTTATTTTTGTTTCCAGGTAGTTATTGGAAAGACTTGACCACGTTCCTTAATGCAGTGATCAGTCATAATGACGAAAGTCAATGATAAAGCATTCTTCCCACTACCTTACAAAGAAGTGACAGACCAAAGGTACCACATGAGTAAATGATTTTCACACAATGTGTGGATTTTGCTTGTCTACACTTATTTACTAATTTTTATTTTTATTTTTTTTGACAAGGGATGGTTTGGGCAAGGGCAGGGAGGAGTGAGCTGAAAAGTGATATAAGAAAAAAAAAAGAGTATCAAAGAAATATTTTGAAAGTTCAGAGAAAGAAGAGGTTCAAAGATTGAGGATAGTTTTGAAACTACTGTGTTGAATTTGTTATACACTTTTTAAAAAGCTATACTTAGCATTCATGTTTACAAATATAATTTCTTTTCTGCTCTGAAAATGGAAATAATCACGTGTTGATTTGTTAGGTTCTCAATAATTTTTAATTAAGCAATTAGGAATAATTACATTCAAGTGGGTTCTTTATCACTCATTAAATAGTGTTGGGGGACACGGTATTAGCAAAGGACTCACAGAATCAATTTTATTAATTTTCATTAGACACTGCCATGTTTTCTCCAAAATATTTGCAGACCCAACAATAATATATTCAAGTGATTCTATGCTGATAGCCCCCAACATGGAAATTTATAATTTTTAAACTATATTTGCCATTCTATGGGTACAAAGTGTTATTTTAAAGTTTTATTTCCATTCATTTATTAAGGAATGAGCATCTTTCTATTATTAACAGTTTGTATTTCCTCCTTCATAAATTGCCTGGTAATGTCTTGATGCTAGGAAGTATGTACTGTTGGTCTTACACCTATGTATTCATTCCTTGAAGGTTCTAAATGTCACATCTTTCTTTATCTGATATACCTGAGTCAATCTTTCCCCCCCAAATTAGTTTCTTTTCTATTAACTTTAGACTTTTTTGTGCACAAAATTTCTACATCTTTGTACTGCCAAGTATCAATTCCAATGATGCTTTTATTTAATTGATATGGAAGTCTCTCCAAGCTTAACATATTTAACAAGTTCTCCAGTTTTTTAATAGCTTTATAAAAATTACTTAAGCCAATAATCCAAATCAACTTCCTTGTGGTTTCTGGTGTGACTAATGGCTCTAAAACCATTCTTTGCCATATAACTATACAATTTCCCAGAACTTTTACTCCCCAGTATTTTGTATTTTTTTAAAATATAGCCTTATTAAATACTGATATTTTATCTTCATTGTTACATCTCTTACATCCCATCTACTCTTCTATTACTTTCCTGGTATTAGAGAGATTTGACATTATTATTCTGTAATACCTTTGGGCATCTGATAGTACTAGTGCCTCTACACTAGAGTTCTTCTTCAGGGTTACTGGTATTCTCAACAATTTTCAGTATGAATACTGTTACTCTAGCTAATTCTTTGATATAACATATTACTTTGATAGGTACTACATGACATTTGTAAGTAAGCTATGCAAATATTTACTATGTGTATTCAGCCCAAATATTAGCAGGTTAATCCCTCTATTCAGTTTTTCCTTAATTTCTATAAACAATACTTTTGAGATTGTTTTTCAGTAAGTCTCAACCTTGCTAGGTACATGACCTAATAACTGAAACATTTACTAATTATACAGATTTCTTGATCAATTTCTCTTATTAGTGAAGGTGTATAGAAATGGAAATTATTTTTGTGGGTTTATCCAGTTTTTCTATTAAAATAACATATCACCTTCATTCATATTTTTGTAAACTATCTTGTTTTCAAGATAGGCAATCATGTCATCTACAAAAATAGATCTATTTATTTCTCCATTATTTATGCTATTCCTTTAATTTTTAATTTTTTTAAAGTTTTCAAACTTTTGCTTTCTAAAACACTATCTCTGACATTAAACTCTCTTTTATAACAAATAAAACTACTTTTAAAAAAAACCACCTCAACAATACTCCTGATAGCACATGTCACACATGCTCTCGCAGTCCCGAAACAAACAAATATCCCCTGAAAAAAGCAGAGAATATCGTCTTTCATCCTGTCACAAGATTCAAGACTGGTCACTGCAATTTATGTTTTCTAAACCCTTTTTTAATGAGATGATCTTTTATGTTTAGGTCACATATGCATTTGGAGTTTACTGAGGCATATAAAATGCCTGCTGGACTAAATATATCCTCCTTCAAAGTGCCTGGAATTTTCCATTAGCTGCTATCCAATAAAAATCCCTCCCCCACTTACATTCCGAGGTTTATTAAATACTTAGGTGCTGTTTTCAATCACATCCAGATCTTGTTACCTATGCTGCTCCAGTGATAGCTCCCCTTCTCTCTTTAAACAGTACAAAATAGTTTTGATGGTTATTGCTTTAAAATTTAGTAATTCTTATGTTTGGAGAAGGAAATGTGAAACCACTCCAGTGTCCTTGCTGAGAAAACCCCAAATGGGGTCATGAAGAGTCGGACATGACTGAAACAACTCAACAACAACAACAAAATTTTTACGTGCCCCTTCCCCCACCCCAATTATTTCCTTTGAGATTTGAGGATTTTTGTTCCTCCAAACAAATTGCTTCTCTAAATTTAATTTTTTAGGCATTGATAAATTTCTTTTTCATGTCTATTTGCAAAGATTTATAGTCGTGAAAAAAAACACATCTTTTTAACATGACAAATGAGTGGGAACAATGTATATCTTCTTTTAACAGCTATTTTTAATGAGAATGCTTCTAGTGCTTCTCCACTGTGTATAATATTAGCTTTTACCTTCTCGAGCTGTTCTTAAATAATGAAATTACATTATTATAGGGATTAATGATTCTGTGACATACAGACATCACAAAGAGGTCAGGAAATTTTACTGGCCACCACTTTGTTTCAATATGGAGTATTGATCCAATTCATGTCAGTAAACTTTAGTAAAAACTACCAGGAGGGAAAGGGATTCAAAGGTGGAAGAAAAACAACAATGAGGTGATTGACTGGACATCAATAAGATGAAAAGGATACAAACCCAGAAAAGGATTGAAGGAGAATGGAAACAGAGAGACAAAAACCAGAGATCACGATGTAAGAAAAGAGTGGTCTGAAAAAGAACGAGCACGGGAGACCAGAAGAAGCAAAGATTATGGATCGGAGGGGGGATGGATTTCAGAATTTAAGATCTGAGAAAAGGTAAGGACAAAGAGATGACCACAGGAATCAACTGAAGTATTGCGGTGATGCTAGTTATTTAAATTAAGGAAGCCTAATGAGAAGAGATTAGAGTCCAGAACGCTAGAAGTCATCACTGAAAATAGGGGACAAAGGCCCAGGAGAAGAAAAGAAGAAAGAACATAAGCTGAATGAGGAAGTCCTTGGAAAATATCTTCTAGAAGTTAGTTGATTACAGCAAAAAGGAAAGGAAAAATTGAAATGATCAAAGTTTGGGAACTGCAAAGAAGGACGGAAGGGTAACAGCAGAATAAGGGCTTAAAAGTGGCATTACGAAGCAAAGAATATGCCAACCACTCACTTCTTCCTGGTCGTAAAGAGTAAGCACGGGTGTGGGTGACAAAAGATATACTATCCTAAGAGAAAACCAGGTTTCAGCTTATACCACAAAATAAGACTGAAAGATCAAGACAGAATTAAAGGGAATTGGATGACAAGAAAAAAAAAAATCTACAATGCATCCTACTGGATAGGGCAGAGGGTGGAATTAAGAAAGGAAGAACTGAGGGTTTAGATAAAGGCAGTAGGAAAAGGGTTTGTTTTGAGTCTCATTAATTTGATGAGGCCTTAGGAAAGGAAGAATGCTGAATAAGTCACTCCCCAAAGTCAAATTAGAATGATGGAGTGATAGGACTTCATTTCTAATGTCTTAAGGATAACCAAATGGAGGGCCCCAGTAGCTTGGACTTCAGGAACAACACCTGATCTGGTCCAGCCCTTCAGGAATGGTTTCCAAATGAATAAGAATGTCTGAGGCAGCATGGCATAGCACTGGCTATTGGTCAGACAGCCTGGGCTTAAATTCCACCTTTGATGCCCAGGATCCATATGACCTCGGGCAGATCATTTACCCTCACCAACATGTCCTCGTCTGTAAAATGAGACGGCTGGACTAGACAGATGGCCTCTGAGGTCCCTACTAACCCTATTCCTCCAATCCATGACTATCATTGGAGGCACCAGTGACTGTGAGATCTGCA